CTCTCACTCATACACATGCACACTCATACACATACACACACATACACACTCTCTCACACACACACACACTCTCACACATACACACACATGCACACTCACACACACACACACATGCACACACACACATACACACACATGCACACACTCTCTCTCACACACACTCTCACACATACACACACACACACACTCACACACACTCACACATACACACACATGCACACATACACACACATACACACACACTCACACACACACACACACACAGTCTCTCACACACACTCACACACACATGCACACACACACACTCACAGACTCTCACACACACATATGCACACACACATGCACACACACTCACACACACACATGCACACACACATACGCACACACATGCACACACACACTCACACACATGCACACACACTCACACACACACTCACAGACACATGCACACACACACGTACACACTCTCTCACATACTCACACACACATGCACACACACACAGACACACACACTCTCTCACACACACATGCACACACACACACTTTCACACACATACACACACACTCACACATACATACATACACACACACACACATGCACGCACACTCACACACACACACTCACACACACTTTCACACACACGCACATACACACATACATACACACACATACACACACACTCACACACACATGCACACACACTGACACACACATGCACACACACACACTTTCACACACATACACACGCACATACACACATACACACACTCACACACATACATACACACACACTCACACACACACATGCACGCACACACACACACTCTCTCACACACACTCACACACACCCCAAACAGACCTTGAAATAAGACTCCCTTCCCAGCAGTTTATGTGGGACGTGACCCCAGGAGAGAAAGGAAGAGAAAGGGTAAAATGGGGCAGTGAAAACGGCCTTCCCTAAGGTATCTGTGTTCTCCTCCCGAGACAGGTGCGCATTATCATGTTTTCTTCTTTCCAAAACGGCTTCACGGATGCCATGAAATAGGATTTTGAGATGAGAGGCTTACCTTGGACTACCCGGGTAGACCCTCCATGACGCCACAGGTGAGCTCGTGTAGGGGAAGAGGGAGACGACTCACCAGGAGGAGGAGCAGGCCGCGAGAGCAGGCCCGGGGCCGGAGGGACACGGCCGGAGAGCGGAGGACCCGCGGCGCCAGGAGCTGAGCGGCGGGCGGAGCCGCCTTTCCCGCCGAGCCCGCGGCGCGCAGGCCACCTCAGTGATGCTGACTTCAGGCCGCCGCCTTCAGACTGGGAGACAACAAGCTGCTGCTTTGGAAGCCACCGCCTTTGTGGTATTAACATATGTCAATATAAATACGCTTTTCAATAATCTGACCAAAAAAAATCTTGTCAGAAACCCTGAGAGAATTTGAATTATTTTGGAATATCCAATATATTTCATTTTTAGGAATTTGATTTTGTGACTTTGTAACTGACTGTGTTGTATATGAGGCTAATTTTAAGGCAGTATGAATTTTATGGATATGAGATGAGAACTTATGTCAAAATTCCTTGTATAGAGAGCAGTTAGAAAATATTAATTATTACATATTAAGATAGAATCTATTCCAATTCCACAGCCAAATATACTTTTATAAAATAATTATTAGTTTTTGTAAAGCTTTATACTTTCATAATGTTTTAACTAACATTATGTATTGATTATGTGAATTGGTCTAGGACATAATTAATATTCTTATCTGCCTGCTTGTGATTTTTTTCACTCATAGTTTCCATTATTTGCTAAGATTTTTCACCATTAGATTTTTTAAAAGATCATGTGAAGGTCAATTAATTAATTTTTGAAGAGAGATCCTTTAAGCTTCTTGTGAATTTTAAATGCCTTGGAAAACAGAATTAGAGTTGAATAATATTGCAATACATAAAGAGATATTTTTAACTTAGCATAATTAAAATATGTTTGATATGCACTGCCAAGTTTTGCCAATAATCGCTTTTTTAAAACTAAATAGTTTATGGCCTTAAATATTCTAGTCTAAGTTCCCTCATTACTGCAGTACCAAAGTGATAGAAGTAACTTCATAATCATTGCTATATTCCTGACAAACAGTGCATTATCTCTCATACAATAGTGCTCATGAATGCTCACTGAGTGCTATATAATCCTTATGATATAGATAATGAAAAATATTTAGGCCATGACACAGGTTAAAACAACGGTAGTTTTTAAATCTGCCCAAATAGAATTGCTGTCGTCTGGATTACTTTTAATAACTAATATTTTTCATATAAATTCTTTTACAATTTAAGCTCAAAGATACAAGTGTCACATAAATGATGTGAATTTTTATTGAAGTGAGGATATAATAAAATGCACAGATATTAAGTGAACAGATAAGTGAGTTCTGACAATTATACACATAGACAAAGGAGCCTGGAAAGCTATACTCCATGGGGTTGCAAATAGTCAGACACGGCCGAGCTAGGTAGACTGTAACTACCATTTCAAATTGAGATGGAGTATTGTCTTCATAGCCCAAATGTTCCCTCATGGTTTTTATACATATTTTTTAATTTATCACATATAAACAGCAATCATCATGCAGTTTGTGTTCTTTTGTGGCTAGTTTCTTTTGTTCAGACTAAAGTGTGTTTTTTAATGATTCATCCATGTTTTTGCAGACATTAGAATGTGTACCTTTTATTGCTGTACACTGCCATATTGCATGAATATATGAATATATCATAACGACATGTGGTTGTCTTGAGTGTCTGGCTACTATAAATAAAGCTGTAAGAAACTTTCTTGTGCAAGATTTTGGGGGATGTATATTTTAAGTTTTGTTACGCAAGTATGTTGGACCATAAAGAAGGCTGAGTGCTGAAGAAAAGAATTGATGCTTCTCAACTGTGGTGCTGGAAAAGACTCTTGAGAGTCCCTTGGACAGCAAGGAGATCAAACCAGTCAATCTTAAAGGAAATCAGTCCTGAATATTCATTGAAGGACTGATGCTGAAGCTGAAGCTCCAATACTTTGGCCACTTGATACGAAGTGTGGACTCATTGGAAAAGACCTTGATGCTGGGAAAGATTGAAGGCAGGAGGAGAGGGGACGGCAGTGGATACGACTATTGGATGGCATCATGGATTCAATATGAGTTTGAGATAGTGAAGGATGGGGAAGCCTGGCATGCTGCAGTCCATGGGGTCACAAATAGTCCAACATGAATGAACGACTAAACCACCACCACCATCATGGTAGATATAGTTTTAACTTTATGAGAGCGCGTCTAGCAACTTTCTAATATTTTTATACCATTTTATACTCCCATCAAAAATGTATGACAATATCAGTTGCTCCAAAAATTTGGCAATATTGTTAATGTTTTCCTTTTTTCTATTTTATGAACTGGTATCACAATGTTCATATGAATGTGAATGTATAGATATATATATATGTATGCAATTGAATTGTATTTTTAACTGTTCCTAGTCCTCTCTAATCTTTATATTTTTAATTTTTTAACCTTTTGTTGCAGCAGATAAGAATTACTGAATGCATATGAGGAGGATAAATATAATTTTTTGTCTCTAATCAGAAGGGAAAACACTCAGTATGTTCCAATTAAGTATAATGATGGCTATAAATATTTTATATATTTTTCTTGAGCTTGAGGTAGCCTGACAAAAACACCCATGTATATGTAAATACATCTGATATATCTTCTTATATATATGTATATGAGACCTATTATTCTTATATATATTCCTTATATATATTTATATGTATAAATATATATTCATTTATTTTCATAAAGGTATATGTAAATACATTTGATATATCTTATTATATACATGTATATAAGACCTATTATTCTTATATATATTCCTTATATATATATATTCAGGCATTTGAATATGACATATATATGTATATATTCTTATATGTTTCCTGAGAATATACATATATGTGTGCACATATATATTTATTCTTAGCAAATTTATACAGTGTATATCCTCATAAATAATTGCATGCTCAATCCTATGAAAATTATTAGCCTTTTTCTCTCCAAATATTTCTTCAGATCCACCAGTAATCTCTTCTCAATATCTGCGAACCTGATTGTACATAAGTTAAACATGTGATATTGTCCAGTACATCTCAGAGTGTCACTTTTCTTTTAAATGTGCTTCAATTTGGTTAATTTATAGTGACTTGTCTTCACTATCATATTTTTCCTGTTATGCTCATTCCCTTATTAAGCCCATCAAATAAATTTCCCCAACTTTAATTGATTTCCTTTTTAAATTTTAATTTCCTTTTGAGGGTTTCCCATCTGATTATATATGCTGCATATATTGCCCACCAGATTATTTAGTGTATTTGTATCCCTTTTTAAAAAGCGCTTTTCCACTAATTCTAATTTTTGCATGCAGGCTTCTACCATTATTTTATCTTTTGGTCATGGATCTCATTTTTTCCTTGTCCATGTTTTGTGCTTGTGAAAGGATTGTAGAGATGAAAGGACGAAGTTTTTATACTTTCAGCTCTTCCTCTCTCTGGCTGTTTGGGTCAAAGAATAAATGAATTTAACTTACAGTTGAACTGTGTATGTGCGCTCAGTCACGTCCGACTCTTCATGACCCCATGGGCTGTAGCCTGCCAGGCTCCGCTGTTCATGAAATTTTCCAGGCAAGGATCCTGAAACAGGTTGCCATCTTCCTGACCTGGGGTCAAACCAGTGTCTCTTGCATCCCCGACCATTGGCCGGTGGATTCTTCACCCCTGTGTCGCCCCGGAAACACCACAGTTGAGTTAGTTCTGTGGGGTTTTTGTTTTGTTTTGTGTTTATTTTGACGGAGTTAACCACTGGGTCCAAATATCTTGAGACAGAATGAAACTCTTCCTTTAGGTGAAGGCTGGAACCTGTGAACTGGTGATTCTCCAGTGATCTCTCTTCCCTGGTGTGGTGCCCAGGTAGCTGTAGGAAGTCCGTCCTCGCCTCACCGCCGGTCCGCAGCCTTTACCGGGGCCGCTTTAAGGCCCTGGAGATTTCCTGCGCTCAGGGGGACGTCTCTTGGTTTCCTTGGTCCTTCATTACCTTCTTCGGGGCCGAGCTGCGAACTCAGCGAAGCCCTCGTGCCTTCTGGAGGGTCTGGCTCAGTCGTCGTCTGCTGCCCCTGGCTGCCTTCAGACTGCCGCCCCGCACGCAGAGAGAGCCATTGCATTCGGGGCACTGCGCTCCCATTTTCCCATGCCACCCCAGCGTTGGCTGGGCCGCTGCCGCTCCTTCGTCTACCCTGGTGAATTTCCATGGGCTCTTCTGGACGGCCCTCGGCTCTCAACAGGCCACTGCTTCGCCCTTGCAAGGTACGCGTTTCCTCTGTGTGGGAGAGAACCGGCTGTCCACGCTGGCCTGCCGAGGCTGCGTCGCCCCTCGCTTTGCGAACGGCTGTGTGACAGCTGAGCTCGCTCGCAGCGCTGCACGCGCGCGTCAGCAGGCGCTCGCTGGGCTGCGAACGTGCGCAGTATGCCGGGCGCTCCAGCCCGGACGCGGGGGAATCACGGCCGCGTCGGGGCCGCGCCCCTGGGCCCGCCACCAGCGAGCACCTGGCGTGTCGGCCGCCGCGGCTGCTGCGTCAGCCAGGGGAGAATGAAGTGTCTGCATCCCGTGGCTCCGGGAGCCTTCTTCCGGCCTCCAAGCCCGCGCCTTGCCTACCCTGGGGCTTCGGGAAACGGTGCAAACTGTGACCGGCGAGACAGTCCACATCACGGACACGACGAAGAGCAATACACTCCGGTCACTTTTCTCGGCGTCCCTACTCTACGCAAGGCCTTTGGCCATGTGCTGACCTTCAGTTTTGCAAGGACGCCTATCCTAGGGTTTCTTTCTTGGTCCTGCTCTCCTGCCTCTACTTTTGATGTGCTCCTGTTCATCAAAGCCCCCTAGGAAAGAATTTCTGTAACTGGAGTTCTTTAAATTTCTAAAATGTCAGGCCTGCCTTAACATCGCTATTAAATCTCTCTCTCTCTTTTTTTTTTTAAGATAAATATCTTTTAATGAAAAGTTCTTGCTGGTTACTCTTTATCCTCATGCGCACAGTGCTGCTTCCTCTTTGCGCCTTGTTTAGTTGTTGGCAATCATGGACTTCTGCAATGGATTGAAGTGTTTTTGCGTGTTTAGCTTACTGGTTTTTCTTTTTAATTAGATAATTTGTCTTATTTGTTTGTGTGGCAATGATAGGAAATTTCTATACTCTAATCAGAAGGGAAAGCCAAACTGTATGAGTTTTACCTCCATGCAACTGTGCTTTATGGACTAGGTGCTTGAGGGAGGCAAGTAGTGTTTTATAGGTTCAGCTACTGTTAAACTAGATTTTTCACAAAAAAAAAACTATCCTCACATTTATTATGCCTAATGAAATTATATATGCTAATCCTAAAATGCAGTAAATGAGATCTGTGATTAGAGAAATATAAAATTAACACTATAATTTATTTGAGCTGTAATCGGTTATCTGTTGCTGGTCCCGGTTCCCATTTTAAATTCAATGGTTCTTAATAAAATGAAATAAAATGTGGGCTTTTTATCTGTCATTGGGGCTTTTCAGTTATAGTCTATCAATGAAACACTACCATTCTGCTAAATATAATGACTTTCTCTACTCCTACTTTTAAAACACCAATTGATGATAATGTTCTACCATAGCATATCATTAAAGCTAATTATTAAAGTAAAGAATCCCCCAAATATGTATTACAAGAAATATTAGAGGGTTTTTTAATATGGTGAAGGATTAGTGTATTTTCAGAAGGGTAGACTAGTAATATTTTACTCCCATTCTGTTTACAGCTCTTACTTTTTGTAGGGGGGGAAGATAAAGTGCAAGTCTTGTTAAAAATATACACCTACAATTCATTAGAAATCATTATACTTTGCCCTTATGCTGATTTTGCTGATATAATTATGATCTTGCCTTTATAATCTTACTCTATTAGATAGGAAAATATTATTTTAATATGTCCAGTTATATGAACATAGTAAATATTCTTGCTGTGATTAATGGAGGCCATTGATTTTACATCCACACTCAAAATGATTTTCTTATTTGAAAATGATTGCCACTTTCCAAGTATGCCTTTGTTTATTGAAGTGATAATATCTGAGTTTTAAACTTAGCTAAAGCACATTGTATTATGAGAAAATAAATATAATAAGTTTATTTTCCTTAAAACTTTGTTTTTCATTTCAGTTGTTTAGAAACCCACTCGACCTTTAAGAATTGCCTAGTTAATTGATTTTCAAATTTTGGTCTTAGAAATCTTTACATTCTTAAATATTTTTTAAAAACCAGAGGAGCTTTCTGTGTTGCTTTGTTCAGTTGCTCAGCCATGTATGACTCTTTGAGACTCCATTGACTGCAGCTTACCATTATTAGCAGTCATCATATTAAAAATTAAAACAGAAGTTTAAGTAACATATTTATTATTTCATTGTTAAATAACAAGCACATTTCATGTTAACATAAATATTTCTGTGAAAGACAATTACTTTTCAAAATATTTAACCTATTATCTTTAATGTTTGACTTAATATGTATCAATTAGATTTTCATAGCTACCCTCCTTTTAGAAATAAGCTTAATTCTAAATGCCAAATTGGTAATACTTCTATTACTTAACAAAGTTCTTCTAAAATTAAATATTTTACCTCACCTAATTTTCTTTAGCTTTCTACAAATAAATGCATCCTAACATAATATGCTTTTATACCATAAACTTTGCATAATTTTATTATTATATTCAAAATATCTGTTTATTACTTATCCCCACTCCTATCCCTACATCCATATCCTATTATGTATAGATATAAATTTAAATTGAAAATATTTTTAATATCCTGTGACTATATGTATCTAAGAATTTCAAATGCATTGTCTGGAATTAGGCATCATTAAAGCTTCAATTAGTGTACCTCAGACTTATTACATTTTTTATAATTATTGAATATAGTGTACAAAATCATTGATCTGTGTATTACTGCAATGAGCTGGCCTCTTTTCCAAATTATTTTACATATTAAAATGTATTGTCTTCTGTAAGAATAAGACAGGATATAAACACCAGTTGTTTTGATTTTCATAATGTAATTGCTAAGAAGTCTGGTTGAAAATAATAGAGAGAATTCAAAAGTTTTTTATGACAGTATGACTCAATTATTTGATCTATTTCTATATTATACACTGAGAAGTTAATATGTTACTTGAATTCTTTGAATGCAAATAATTGGAAACCACATGTATTTCACAGCAATTTATTATTCAGTGATTATCACTCACTTTCTCAACCCCAGCACTGATATCTCAAATTATCATTTTAGTCACTAAGATATAAGCTTATATGAGGCATATATTTTTTTTCTTTTTGTTAAAACTGAAGAAGCTGGAGTATAAAAGAAAGACTCCTGCATGTTATCTAATGGTGAGCCTTTTCTCAGGCAGAGTTTTTTATGAATGAGCATATATTTAAACTATTTGAAAATTAGCAAAATTTAAAACTGCTGTGCAAACTTGGCCCTGGAGGCACTGCAGGTGCACAAATAACCTCAACTAAAGATTTTCTTTCTTACCATACCCCAAATATTTCACTGTTGAAATAATTTCAGGACTTATGAAAGCATCTATACTTTGTAAAATCCCCCTCTGTGATCTTTTAGATAGATTATTGATCTATGTCCTGAACTCCAAATAGAATTTCAATTCTCACTCATGTGCGTCTCTTCTTGTACTTACAGTGTTAAAGAATATAAGGTGGCTCAACAGTACAAGCTGAAGATCTGGAAGTCATCTCAAAGCTTCCATCTCTTTTGTCCACTGTAGCTAATAAATCACCATGCTCCATCTGTTTTACTATCTATTAAATTGATAGCCACTTCAGGCTCTTTTCCATATAGATTCTCTGCCACTTCTCAGCTCAGGTGGTAATACCTGTCCTGGCAACAATTTACTGAATGATTTTCCCTCTTTTAACCAACTTCTGCCATTCTAATTGACTCCAGGATGCTGTGCATTTGGAGTAAGTGTTCTTTTTTTTTTTTCATTTATTTTTATTAGTTGGAGGCTAATTACTTTACATCATTGCAGTGGGTTTTGTCATACATTGAAATGAATTAGCCATGGATTTACATGTATTCCCCATCCCGGTTCTCGAGCATGTCATCTTTTCTCAAAATTCTCCAGTGGCTGCTCATTACTTGAACAATAAAACCAACATTAATTAACCTACTCTGTAAGACTCTCCATGATATGACCTTCATATTCTGAGAGGTCTTGATTATGCATTGCCATAAATTTTCATTCATAAAACATTTTTCTTTTCCAGTGTGCTTGACTTTCTATTTATCTGCAGCATCACACAACAGCCATAGTTCTTCCACAGTTTCCAAGTTTCTTATGTGTTTTCTGTGCTTCCCCTAACTCTTTCTAGGATTCTGAATCACCCTCCACACAATCCATGCACACTTCAAGCAACAATTACAAGGTGTCTACTCTGTGACCATTACAGTGTTAGACATCAGAGATAAAACTGTGAGTGTCGTTCTTAGGACAAGAGTGCAATTTAATGACATTGAATGCTATTTTCCTCTTGATTTTTTTTTCCCTAATGATTTTTGACTTATATTTTGTCTAATGGTAAGTGTGTGTATCTTTTAGTAGGTTAACCTGACCTTACCAGGCAGAAGTAAGTGTTCTTTCAGTTATGACCAACATACTTTTTTAAATGCATCTACTACACAAAGGATTTGGAATATTTTAAGTGCTTGTAAGTTTGATATTCTGTTAGACTGCAAACTTCTTCATGTCAGGAATTTTTGCTCCTTTGGTTTTCACTTCTACTTACTATGTAGATTTTAGTACATATATATGGTTGGTGATGGACAGGGAGGCCTGGCATGCTGCAGTCCAGGGTGTTGCAAAGAGTTGGACATGACTGAGCGACTGAAACTGAACTGAACTGATATGGGTAGTGATATTCTATTGAATTAACAAGTGTTTGAGTGTCAGTCTTCTGAAAGTTATGCATACACTTGAAAGATATTTTCTTTATTTCTTTGATCAAGCAAAAATTGTCAAGCTACACTAATATTAGAATTTGATAAAAGCAGAGCCTTATTAATGAAAATCAATAGTGATAAGTAACCATACCCTGCCTCAGTGTTGAAGCCTATTTAAATTTAAATGGAATCGAAAGTCATCAAAAGTTAAATTTTATACTTAAAAGATCTACAGAAAAAAAATAATAAAAAAGACATTTCAAAGCAGAATGGAGAAGTGAGGTTTATGACCTGTATCTCCAGCCTTCCAGGGCAATCAATGCTTTATTTACTAGATAATACTCTGCTTCTTTTCCTCTGTGTGTTTTTCCCATCAGTCAAAAAAAATAATAATAATAACAGCTTTCTTTTTTCAGTGCCTTTAGCCACTGTAGGGAAAAATATGACTGTAGGAAATGGTCATAAATTTTGTTATTTAGGGGATAATTAGCAGTGAACAATGTGCTCTGTTCTCAGAAAGCTGTTCACGTGGATCACCATCACTGCATAATTAGCAAGAGACCACTATGTAAATCGGGGTTTGCCTTTCTGTCCATCTCTGAT